TGAGCAGTAATGCTAACTAACATGGTGAATAAGGGCTGAATGTAAATTCTCAGAATTTTTGTTTCTTGTGATGCATTTGCTAAAGTGAGTATATCTTGAATAACTGATAGAATCTCACATAGTCCTAATTAATCTGTGAAGAACTTGGATGGACATAATGGAAATACAGGGAGTAATTATTTCTATGCAAGCCAAATCCTTGCATATATTTTTTTTATTTTTAAACTACAATACAGTGTACATTAGATCACAGTACCTACCAAAATATAAATCCACATCTCTTTTTATGCTGGATTTAAGACTCTGGTATTCTCATATATGCATTCAGAGATAATATAGTTATGGCATAAATCAATATAATCAAATATCACCAGTTCCTCTTCATTCTGCCTCATTTATAGCTCTTTAATTGAGTTCCTCTTTTCCATTTCTGTTGCCATTTGTTTAGGCCTTCAATTATATTTTATATGAATGATTCCAGTAACTACAGTTCTCTTGATGACACCAGCATTTCAACACTCCAGCCCAGTTTTGCGTTTCTGCCAAAGTTGTTTGCCCATAAAACAAAGTTCACCATGTCACCCCTCTGCTAATAAACTTCTGTCAGCTTCTTATTAATCTATAAGATCAAGTCTAAAACCATGAACTTGGCTTACATGTTTTGAAACAGACCCTACCACACTCCTTAGTCTGTGCTCAGCATACTCTTAAATCATACAGCACTCCCAAAGGTGCACAGAAGTTCTCTCCTTCCTTCTCTGCTTGCCTTCTATTACTTATTTGTTCACATGCTATCTTCTATTCTAAAGCTTGCTGAATTCTTGAAATAAAATCAGTTGAATCATTGAAGTGTGTCCCTACAATACTTGGTTCATATTTTATTTAGATATTAAGTTTATTATTATTATTATTATTTAAAAATAGACAATTGTTGGACCAGGTGTGGTGGCTAATGCCTGTAATCCCATCACTTTGGGAGGCCGAGGTGGGCGGATCATGAGGCCAAGAGTTGGAGACCATCCTGGCCAATACAGTGAAACCCCATCTCTACTAAAAATACAAAAATTAGCTGGGTGTGGTGGCGTGTTCCTTTGGTCCTAGCTACTCAGGAGGCTGAGACAAGAGAATTGCTTAAACCCAGGAGGCGGAGGTTGCAGTGAGCTGAGATCATTCCACTGCACTCCAGCCTGGCGAGACTCCATCTCAAAAAATAAAGAAATAAATAAAAAGAATAGACCAATGCTTTTATGTTCAGCTTTACTGAGACACAAATCACGTGAAAATGGTATATATTCAAGACTGTTTTTCTTTCTTTTTTTAATTGTAGTCATTCTGATAAGTGTAGGGTGAGGTGGTTTTAACTTGCGTTTCTCTAAAAGCTAATGCTGTTGAGCATCTTGTCATGGGTTTTTTTTCCATCTGTGTATCTATTTTGGTGAAATGTCTGATTATTTTTCTTATATTCTAATTAAATTGTTTGGGTTGTATTTGCTGTCAAATCATCAGAGTTCTTTATATATTCTAAATACTTATCCTTCGCTATGATGCCTTCATACCATGTACTACTACTACTCAGTGATAAAAGGAAGAAACTACTGATACATAAAACAACCTGAATGAATCTACATGAGAAATTCAAATGCCAAAAGTTTGCTTTTTATATGAGTGTGTTTATATCCATTCTTGAAATAATAAAATTATAGAACTGGAGAACAATTAGTGGTTGTTGGAATAAAGGAGTAAGTGGGGGCAGGTAGGACTGGATGTGGTTATAAAAGGGCAACAGGAGAGAACCTTGTGGTGAAGGGAATGTTCTCTATCTTGACTGTATCCAATGTCAGTGCTGTAGTTGTCTTGTTTTACCACAGTTTGCAAGATATTTTCATTGGGGGAAACTGTAATTGGCACATTGGACTCCCATGTTACTTTTTACAAATGCGTGTGAATCTACAATTATCTCAACATAATGTCTATTTATTATTCTACAGCTTTATTTAGGTATAATATACAAATAAAAATTGTATATTATATAAATATATATATTCAAGATGTGCAACATTATGTTTTTGGATATCATGAAATGATTACCACAGTGAAGCTAAATGCATATATAATCACTTCACATAGTAACTTTTTGTGGTGGGAATACTTAAAACCTACTTTCCTAGTTAATTTTAAATATATAAAACATTACTTTTTCCTTGCTACCATACATTAATATTAATTACAGCCACCATACTGTACATTAGATCTCCAAAACTTACTTATCTTATAACTGTAAGTTTGCATCCTTCGACCAACATTTCCTTATTTCCCCCAGTCCTGGACCCCTGATAACCACAGTTCTACTCTTTGCTTCTATGTGTTTGACTTTTTTTGACTCTGCATATAAGTGAGATCATGCAAGATTTGTCTTTCTGTGTCTGGCTTTCTTCACTTAGCATAAGGTCCAACAAGTTCATCTATGTTGTAAAAAATGGCAGGATCTCCATCTTCTTTAAGGCTGAATAATATATTCTGGGGTGTGTGTGTGTGTGTGTGTGAACACATAGGTTGTTCATTCATCTTGGTGATTGTGAATAATGCTGCAATGAACATAGGAGTACAGATACCTCTTTGAGGTACTGATTTCATTTCTTTGGGATGGATGTACAGAAGAGAGATTGCTGGATCATATGGTTGCTCTATATTTTAAGGAAATGCAGTACTGTTTTCCATAATGACTGTACAAATTTACATTCTCACTAACAGTATACAACTGTTCCCTTTTCTCTACACCCTTGCCAATACTTGTTATCTGAGGTGTTTTGGAAAATAGCCTTCCTAACAAGGACCATCCATTACATTTTAGATGTCACATGTCCTTAGACCTTTCCTATCACTTATAACACAAGACAGAGTTAGACCGTTTTTTAAAAGATCCCTTTGTTATTGATTACAAGGTGATATCTAATTGTGGTTTTGAGACAGTGTAGGGAGGAGACTTCCAGTGGGCCTCACATGTCCAGGCATACTCCCTCCACTACCTTCCTGCCACCCTTAACAAACTGATATGCCCATAAGCTTATAACATTCTGAGCTCCTTGGAAACAAAGGTAATTGCAGTTATATTTGTATCTTTAGGACTTAACACAATGAGTGTTCTTATTAAACTTTTGTTGAGTGAATGAATGAATCCTGGAAGGTCTGGAGAAAAGAATAACACAAAAATGTTATAAGAAATTTGCTGAATATAGAGAGACTATACCAACAGTCATAAAATATTCATTAAGAATGTCTTCAGACTACTTTGTATAAAACAATATTTTTCTCTCCATCTATAGAATGATATGTTTTTCATCAGAATGATAAATCTCAATAGAAAAATATTTTAATTTAATACAACTTCAGTGTGTAAATTTATAAAACCATATCCATTCTATAAAATATATATTTACATTAATGTAGATTCATATGTAGATACAGGCCTGCAGATTTTGTCATTAAATGTTTACCTCCAGTCTGTTTCACTAGCTATTATCTATTTATATCCACTCAATATATGAAATCAGGCCATAAACTAAGTAAAATATTCTCTGGAAAAGAATAAAAATTTGTGGTGCTAGAATCTTATGGAACTTACACTGACCTTCAGATTACTGGCCTGAATATGGCTGATTCATGAAGGGATTAGGAATTTTGTAAGCAAATAAAACCTTGTGAGAGCCTAAACATAATTGACTATATTCAGTTGGATAATATAAGATGACTTTGTACTTTACAATATCATATCAGAGAAGTGTATTTAACATAGCATAATAATAAGCACTCCATGAGGTTTAATGTCATTTTCCAAACCAATAATAGGCTTTCATTATGTAGTAAGGGCCTTGCCAAATGTCTTTTTAATTGTCAAAATGTTTTACATTCTAATGTAAGAAGCAGATATCAATATTTATAAGTCAAACAGAATACTTTAATTTGATATGAGAGTTGTATTTGAATACCACAACAAAAACTTCTTTGTTTCACTTCTATGTGTGAAAATATCTGTCATTAACATGTATTGTCTTCTAATTGAGGGCATGATCACTATTAAAATTATGTATAATCAAAAACTGCATTTTTTCACAAGAATAAAATTTCAAATCCAATACTACATAATATAAAATTCTATCCAACCTTTGTAAAATTACTTTATGTGATTATAATTTTAATTAGAAGAAAATAAATTTTGGTCTTTTACTTTAAGTACTAAAATTATTTTAATTATATTTTCTTTGCAACTTTTATTATACTGATATAATATTACTCTTTTTTTTGAGACTGAGTCTCACTCTGTGGCCAAGCACCAGGCTGGAGTGCAGTGGCAGGATCTCGACTCATTGCATTCTCCGCCTCCCAGGTTCAAGCAATTCTCCTGCCTCAGCCTCCTGAGTAACTGGGATTACAGGCAAGGGCCACCACGCCCAGCTAATTTTTGTATTTTAGTAGAGACAGGTTTCACCATGTTGACCAGAATGGTCTTGATCTCCTGACTTCATGGTTTGCCCACCTCGGCCTCCCAAAGTGCTGGGATTACAGGCAAGAGCCACCACACCCAGCCAAAATTATTAGTTTCTTAGTCATTTGATCTATATTATTAGTTAGTCCTTGAAAGAACTTAAAAGGTTATGCTGCATCATAATTTCCCACTATTGTACATTCTTCACTTGTTGCCTAAGAACAAGCTAAGAATCACGACATTAAAACCATTTTTAAAAAGTAATCAACCAACAAAAATTAAAGGTATACTTGAGTCTGCTGGATCATCACATTCTTACAGTCCCCTCAAGGACATCCTGCAGTTTGGCACTAACATTTAAGCTTGGAAAATTATGTGATTATCTATTACATTTTAGATGTTACATGTCCTCAGAGCTTTTCTATTACTCATAATACAAGACAGAGCTAGACCATTTTTTAAAAGATCCTTCTGTTATTGCTAATTGCCTAAGGTGCTTCTTCCTTTTCTTTTTCAGAATGAAGAACAAATTTTGGTATTTTGAGTTTGGTACATCTGAAACTTTCTCAGCCACCTGCAAGAAGCTACATGAATCTGTAGAAATAGAAGTAAGAAAAAAAGTGAATTATTTTTCATAATATGATAAAATGGCTTGAGCTTGGTTGTTACTATGTTTGCATTGTAGCCCATGGAATGAAATATAAGTTGGCAATCCACAGAGATTTACTCAGGATTTGAAATTGTCATTTCTTTCACTTATTTGGAATGTAGCACTATCTGACATACTAAAGTTAAGTGTATATATTAGTTGTTTTATTATAGTATAAAAGAACAAGAAATGGAACACAACTTTGGAAATCGATGCATTTGTTACTGGGCATAGTGTGGATAGAAAGATGTAAGATAAACGTAGTTGAAAAGAAAAAAGTTGCAGAATACATACAAAATATTATTTTCCGGTCTCAGTATCTTATAACCTTTAAAACACCGTTTGCCAAAATAGTGCTTACTTTTATGAACAAAGGTTAAAAAGTATACTTTTCCATTCCATTCCCATTCATTAACTAGGTTTTCTCCGTTCCCAAGGTTGCCATTTCCCCATTACATTTATAGAAAGTGGAAATGCCAAGAAAGAGAGCAAAGATAGCAAGAAAAGACACACTTTAAAAAGACTTGGAGCAAATAGGTCTATAAAAAAAAGACACTGGAGGACTCAACATTTTGGAGAAATATTATAAAAGAATATGACTTCATTATATTGAGAGATTTTTAGGGGTTAAGGAAAAAATGAAAGTTATATTTTGACAGTTGGTGAAGACAAAACCAGAGGAGCAGAATCATGAAACATGAACCCTTAATGACTAGTTGATATGAATTAAGAAACATTGGTTTCAACACTTTTCATTTTAAAAATAAATGCATAAATTTTCTACTGATACCTAATTCATGAGTTGCTTATATTCAGGTAATAAGTTTGGTAAACAGAAGTAGTTATGGAACACATAAGATTATAATGGTCTGGGTAGATTCTTTATTATCCTGATTTCTAATTTGCTGTTATTAATAATACCAAAAAATGATACTACTCTCAGTGTAACCTTTCACCACTTTTATCTCACGATGATTGGTAAATAGAATTAGGTATTAGAATTGATGGTCATAGAATGGGAAAAAAGCACTTTATAATGGAATCAATCATAATCTTTGAAATACACATAATCACAGAGGTGAAGGATTTGGGTTCAGCATGGACTTTCTGTTATTACTATTTAGGATTATATATCTGTGTATATGTATGATACATGGACACATATAACTATATAAAATACAATTTATATAACATATATAACTATATACATGTATACCTATATAATAGCTATATATGTAGTACACAGTTATATACATAGTTAGATATCATATATAGTTATATATGTCATGTATTGTTTTATATATATATATATACACATTTTGATGTATATATATTCAATAAAACATATACATTCCCCCTTTACCCTTAGAATCATTATTTTTTTAAAACTGCTTTATATGCTAGATTTTGAAAATTTCTTATCCTCAAAACTTACGCTCAGATAAAATTTGCCACAGAAGCTGAAAAGTTTTAAGAAAAATTAGAAGTATGGCTTTGGTGGAATATAAGTGGAGATCCTAAATCCTCCTGCACCTGTCTTTATTTTATGCTGCCCTGAGCACAGATTGAAAATCCATTGGTCTATAGAAGAAGATTCTGTGTGTCATGAATCAAAAATAAAAAAATCTTTAAGAAACGTGTTGTACTTACAGCAAAAGAGTTTGAATGAAAATACATTGGAAAATGGTGATTTTTAATGTGCTAAATAATGATAAAATTGAGTGGTTTTGATCCACAGAGTTTGAGATCTTACAGAAAAATGATTTAGAATGTTCTCCAAGAAATCTGGGGCACTAGAAGTAAGTTATGTTTCTTGGGGTCCTGTTTCTACTTACTCTCTCAGCCTGGCCTTCTAGCTCTGCATCCCTGGCTTATTTGGGGGTGCCATTACAATAACATTTGTAAATCACAGCCAGCACTGTGTACATGCCCCGTTGTATATTTGCACATCTTGTGTATGTGTGTGTATGGATAGTAAGGCAAAATCTGCTTCTCTGCTCACTTTTTAATGAATCCTGTCTATCATATTAGCAGAATATGACTTTCTACCCTCAAGGTTATTTCATAATTAAATATAACAAAAACAGCAATTTGAAAATTTGATTCTGTTTGTTGTTGCTTCCTATTTGCCCTAAAATTATTCCTATTATGGTTTGAAAAATATATAACAGAATAAACTACTTCAGTAACAACAGAACCTCCAGCAATAGATACATGTATTATTTGCAGCTTTTTCAAAATCAAACTATCTTTTGTGTGTCTTTTTATATAATATTCCTCTTTCACATAGTGAGCTCCTTCCAAAGAGGCCAAATATTTGGGTTGATATGAATATCATGGAATAATAGTTCAGATTTACCTATTATTAACTGCATCAGAGGTGATGCTCAAAAATGCACATATTTTATTTCATTTAGTCTTCATCAAAGCCTATGATACTACTAGGTCTGCATTGCAGAGATGAACATTTTCTTCAATAATTTAAGAGAAATCAGAATTATGTTGCTGCCAATATGTTTAAATCTAATGAGCAAATTGACTGAAAAATATATATACGTGCACATATATGTAAAGAGTTAATGATACACAAAATAGCATTTTTTGTTTAAATATATGCATTTATCTTCTAACTTTATTACAAAAGATAAATTAAAAATAAAATACTTTAAAATTACAAGAAGATATTTTAAAAGCATTATATTAAAGTTTTTGGATGGGTAAAATATGAGCCTAAGAAAGCCAGGTCAGCATTTGCAACTGAAGATACCGGGTTCACGAATGTTTAGTTTGCTCAGCATACTGGGCAAAGTTATTGGGAGAGTAAGAAAGCCTGTTCTACTGGTACTTCAGTCTTTTGGTTGACAGACTGGGACACGTGGTAAATTTTAAAGGCAAGAACTTCCATCCCAAAATACTGATTTATTGTGATGATTACATTCCCCTAGAAACCTAAATGACCTCGAGAATTAGCAAATGACATGTGTAGCATCAAAACACAAAATAAATTAGCAGGATTCAAAAGAAAAGGTTCTTATTACTTAGTAACCTGGAAAACAGAGTTCTTAAAGGCAGTAGCCAGAATTTGCAAGAGTAGTCTCTGCCCCATATGTCCTAATACTAAAATTACCTGTAAAGTAATGTTTTAGGTTTCATTGAGTAAAAATATGAATAATTTTTATCTGACATATACACAGAATCAGACTCACCGTGGAAAAAATTACAGTTCATCATTAACTTTATCTCATCATATTTACCATCCACACTTCGAGCTCTCCAGAGTTCTTCACATGTTTTGAATAGTCCTATCAACTGACATGTTAAGTGGATCTGAAACACTAAAGTCACATATAAAGCTTGTTTTTAACACCTCTGTACAGTGTGACCCAGGGCTCATTTATACATGAAGGTTAAAACACATTGGCAGAAAAATGGAAACTGTCTTCTTTTCTGTTAGATAAATGAGTTTGTGGAATAAGATCTTCCATTTTAAAACTGAAAGACGTGGACAATGGTATCCCAGCCTTGCACTCTATAAATAGCTCCCGTAGTACTATATGTTAACGACCCTTTTTCTACCTAATAAAAATATTCAGGATTTATTGACTGAGGCTGTTAGCTTTTAAGCTTTTATATTCTTTTTCTCTGTAGCTACCTCTTTAAAAGTCATAAATCTTAAAGGGAATGAAAATATTATCTGACGCAGTACTGTAACTTGTTTATATTTCATAGCCGTCACCTCAGTTTTTATTTTCATGTACTCAACTGGTGTGCTACAATTACTGGTCGCCAACAGAACTGGCACTGAAATTTTCCAGACTAATGAATGTAACGTTAAAGCAAACAGAGGAAGGTGGCCTGGGGTCAAGAACTAGTGGAAACAAATCATTAATAAATAGCAATTTATTTAAGTACATTGTTCTGCTCTCAAAGGAACATCAGTGTTCCTCATCAGTCCTTGTTCTTTGCGACTCTTTAGGTAAATTTTTTTTTCACTTCTCAGAGAGCTACTTACTCTGTTTCCTTAAAACGACACATGACAAGATTCTGAAGAGTGAAAACATGAATAATAGCATACACTGATGTTTTTCAATTGTCACATGTGACTCCGCTGGTTCAATTTTTTTTTTTTTTAAAAAAGAAGCCTCTTTGCAACACGCTCTCCTTTTCTGCAGATGAACAAAGGAATCTTCCTTCACTAATTCTGAAAGTAACTTGTCACAGTGGGGTTCTAAGGCCTAGTCAAATAATTGTCTTAGTGTACTACCTGCTGTGTTCAATATTGAGTGAAAATGGAAGCCAGGCCCTGACTCCAGCTTATTTCATGATTCTTCTGTTATTTAAATGATTTTAGTCAGTTTGGGGGAAGCCAGACCTTTATAAATTAACAGCAGGGAAATACCAAAGGTGTCAGATTGCATATTTATCATCTTTTTCGTGTAATACTTAAATATGTATTAAGAAGTGACTGACATAAATTAGGCAGATTTCAGAAGCCACAGGCCGTGGCTTGTAGAGGACCCCCTTCTGCTTGACATTTCATCCTTGTCAAAGATCAAATTATTTTAATTTAGGCTGCAAATTATAAGGAATGAAGACTTCTTTGTGGGAATTCCCTATGGTAATCTGACTTTTGTTGTTACTGCTGCTTGTCAGTGTGCAAAAGATATAATATGCATGCAAATAAGGTTAAAAAATATGTACTATCTAATTATCCAGCCAGTACATTCCACTTGAAGACAGTGGGAGGCCTGACACACAGTATGTGTTTGATTCATTGAGGCCTGCAGGGTATTTACACAAGATTACTTTTAATTATGAAATTAATATCTGTTTATCTAGAATATATAGCGGTAAGTGAGTACACACATGACCAGAATTCTTTAGTAAAAAGAAATCATCTTAATTTAGCACAAGAAAAAGAGAAAAAAGGCACTGCTTCCTGGGAAAAATTGTTTTAAAAGGCATCATCTAGATCTTGGTTTCACCCTCATTGAAACAAATTAAACGAAAACTTGGCACTTTCTCTAGAATTTGTTTTTACCCCTGCCAAGTAGTCTCAAGATGTGTTTCTTTATTTCACAGTTTTTATTTTTCAGTGAACAAGATGCAATTCTAGCTTCAGTATGATGAGGCGAATGTGGAAAGAGAGAGCTTTTTTTGTTTTGTTTTGTTTGTTTTTCATCATTTTCATGGAACACTGTGTCTTCTGAGTTCAAAAATCATGACTGCCGTGAGAAATGATGAAGTTAGTATCAATGATTTTTCTGTAATAAGACATGGCAAATGAAACGACACCACTGTAGATATACTCCAATTTAGGAAATGTATATCCCTTAAAAAATTCTTTAAAAACCAAAGTGCTTATGTCTCTTTTCATGTTAACTTATAATCGAAAATGGGATAATTATTTCTGGAATGCATAGTAACTAGCATTTTGGAGAAGTTAAGGCAAACGAATAAATAGTAATTTTAAAAATACAGAAGTCTTATCACTGTCCACATGTGTTCATCAGTGAAGATAAAGGGAAAATTTCAAAAACTAAGAAATGACGTCTCTGAATATAACAAAATGTTGTCTGTTAGTGAATTTTATATTTTTCATAATCACTGGGGTGTTCTGTCACCAGGAAAACAAGGAAAATTAGGCTGATTAACTTTCTTCTTTTTAACCCATGATTGCAGTAGCTATAAAATCATGCTGGATTGCTCTTCCCCTATTTCGCTCACTTAATCTGCCTGGTCCTCCACATTCATTTGGACAACGGTGCCTCTTAGGGCCTTTGATATCTGCTTGGGACTTCATCTAGTCCAGAAAACCATCCTTGGTAAAATCAGTGTGAATGAAATCTCTTAGAATTGCTGTTTTGAATTTTGTTTATTTATTTTTTAACAAAAGCGTTTTAAGCTGCTTCTTTCTCTGCCCCAAAAGTGTGAGACCATGAGGCATCAATGCTGTTTCTTTACTTTCCCCCAATAGTACTTTGCAGTGTGTTCTAAATAGGGGCAATCATCATAATTTCTTCCTAAAATTTGACCATAGTTTCCAGAATTAAGCTTTGTGTAACACATTGGAAATTTGCAGCTGGTTAAATATATATGCAGACATTAACATGTCCCTCCCAAAGGTTTTCTACAAACAGATATACTGGTGATTTAATGTTAGGGGCTGTTTTATCTTTTATATTGAATCCAGATAAGCATTAAGTGTTCTCGAAAGGCTTGTTTGGAAATGACAACATTATGGATTTCAATGCTCTTATTAAAAGATGAAAGATGAGGAAATGAAAAAGAAGAAATCAGGGAAGTGGGGATAAAATATTTTACTGTTTCTGTTTCTTTCTTTTTACTGATCAGTGTGATGGAGTACAGATAGACTTAATAAACATCTCTCTGGAAGGAATTGCTATTTTGAATATCCCAAGCATGCATGGAGGATCCAATCTTTGGGGAGAGTCTAAGAAAAGACGAAGCCATCGACGAATAGAGAAAAAAGGGTCTGACAAAAGGACCACCCTTACAGATGCCAAAGAGTTGAAGTTTGCAAGTCAAGGTCAGTTTTCTAAAAATTAGTTGTTAAATTGCTTCTTAACTTGCTTTCAAAGGCTTCTTTAAAATTAAAGAGTTTTCTGTTGCACTATAATAATGTATACATTTATACAGTTGTATTTTTCATATTATAAGATACCCATGTGTGATTAAATTCCGTCACTCTAGATTCTAACTCAGTTATAAACTGGCTACATTTTTCATGTTTTTTTTTCTTCTTTATTCTTCTTCTTTGTATATATCTCTTCCCACAGAAAATAAAATACATTTGGGTTTTTAGTGGATAATAAAATGGAAGATATTGTATATTAAGCTCTTCTTAAATGTGATGGCCTTGAATAGGACATTTGAGTTACTAGAATAAGGCTTTTCTAAGGTTGCATTATAATAAGAGATTTTATTCTTTTCATGCTTTGGTCTGGCTATAAGATTGAAGCTATGTTACATAGCTGTTATTCTAAGTACCATATATAACAGAATGTTTAAATGTCCCATGATAAATTTTGGTTGTCTGCTAAGATTTTCCAGAAAGTTAGTAACAAGTAGGAAACCTGGGAAACAGAGAGCAAAGACCTAAAAATAAACTAACTATGGTTCAGGATCTTCAACTCTATTGTAATATAGTTTTCATTGGAACATGATATCTAATTCTTATAGATTTATAAACCAAGATATTAATATGATATTCTGATAACTAATCATGTCCCAATAATTTATGTATATAATTCCATAATATAATATTTACCTGCTAGAATTTAATACTATTGATGACACTGAGAAATCAAAACATGTTGTCTCAGCTCAGTGTAGCAAGGACAAAATATGAAGAGATTTCAGCATTCATGGACTAATATAAATGAATTACTAAAAAATGAAATAGAATAGAGTGAGATGATTGGTGGGCTTTATGGTGGTGGGCAATAGCTTTATGTTTTGCTTTCTTTGAGTACCTAGTTCAAGTCTTGGTAATGGGCAGTGACTTCGGTTATATAAAATTTGGTACCATGAAAGTGAAAGCGTTAGGAGACAAAGCATTTGGAGAAAGCGTTAGGTATCCTCTTAAAAGAAATACTTATCACAACCTGCCAATGACAGGTGGTTTTGATGCCCTTAAAATGTATAAGTACTCTGGGAGAACTGTGTTAGTACGAGCAAGTTTATAACAAATCAATTAAAAAATTATATATTCAAAATATAATAAAACTGTATGAAAATATGGAGAAAAATAGTATTTTAAAGGAGAAATATATAGAAAAAAATGAGAAGTTTGTGTTACATGAATTAGAGGAGGAAAAGTAAACATAATTACTAGTTTCTAGACGTTATTGACATTAATTTATATTTGTATTTAACTATAAATTTAAATGTAAAATTAATAGATTTCCAAAAAGGGTAGTGAAAAATTCTAAGAGTTGGAATTAGCTTAAGGAACATACTTAGACCACACTTAAAAAACTCTTTTTTAATAGTGTGACTGTGTTATTAGGTACTACCTATGGACTCCTTGCTTCCTTCCTTACAAATATTTTTCCTAAATATTATGTACAAAATAACTTCCAGGTTAAGTTTTCTGTTTGGTCACCACATCCCAATACTCGGTATGTCATTTGCATCTACTTATTCTCAATATTTAACCAAACTGATTGTCAATAGCTATGCTGCCAGCTATACTCACCCACTGAGTTGTCGAACGTTTCTTAGACACGTGACTGTGCTCCATCCAGACACATGTCTATGTATTCTCTCTGGAGCTGCTGCACACATGTCATTTGCCTGGGCTCAGTCACCCTCCCTTGTCTGATTTTTTTCAGGAACACACGTTTTGAATAAACTACAGACAAATAAGACTCACATATTGTCATAGGCTTTCAGTGCCCATAACTATTGGAAAAGCTCTCTCTTCCCTTTCTGTCTACTTATTTTCTACCGTGGAACTATTAGAAGCAATTTTCCATAAATACTGGGAAAGGAGGAAGCAGGAATACATAGGCCTTGTGACTCAGAAATACATTTTTCTTAGTAGGCAGATGGGATAAATTCGAAAAACAAGGGAGATCAGAGAGGTTTCAAAGGTCATTATTTGAGCAAAACCGAAGCATGTTAGGGTCAATTTTGGTTCTCTGACTTAACCACCTAACTTATAGCTTTGGTTTAATATTATTTCAGGGTAAGTATAATCTCAGAACCAAGAATGACCTTTTGAGCTGAATAGGTTTTTAAAAATTGGTATATATTGGTCTTTTTAGTAATTCCAGTAAGTTTTTTTTCACTTTGAGATATTTTGCAACAGAATACCAAAAGTATCTCAAAATGCTTCTAAGTTTTGATTTCATATTTATTCTGCTAATTTTTCCATGTTATACTTAATAGCCAAAACCAAAATTTACTACTGAGGTAGTTACATTTATCCCTTTCCTAAATAGCAATATTTCTATGACTTGATTTTGGTTTCCTAACAAAATATGTGTGTAAGCCACCATGCCTGACCTATCGCTGCTTTTATGTCAAGAATAAAAGCAGCGATAGGTCAGGCATGGTGGCTTACACACATATTTCCCATACTTTCGAAGGCCAAGGTGGAAGGATCACTTGAAGCTAGGAGTTGAAGCCCAGCCTAGGCAACATACTGGGAACAGAAGGAGTGGGAACTACTCAGAAGGTTGAGGAGGGACAATCGCTTGACCCTGGAAGTTCAAGACCACAGTGAGCTATGGTTACGCCACTGCACTTCAGCCTGGGCAACAGATCAAGGACTCTATCTCTCTTACACACACACACACACACACACACACACACACACACACACAGCAATAGTATTAAATTTGAGGATCAATCAGTATTTTGAATTTAAATATATTTTCAAAAACTTATAAAAACTTACTATTAGCACTGACTTTAGAATGAATATGGTCAATATGGCTCTAGTCCAACACATTTTTAACCTATAAACAAATTAATAACTTGCACTGTTAGAAAATATATAAGAAATCAAAAACTTAATACTGTAACTTTCTTCTTGTTGAGAAAGCACTTTCTTAAACTATTAACTAATATTGTTTCTCATATGCCTCTGTAAAAAATTATCAGAAGTTTCAACTAAATTTTTACACTAATGAAATGGATACTTGCTTTCATAAACTTCAGATAGTTTCTTTTGGAGGGGGACAGAATGGGGGAAACTAAATTCAAATAATAAAGGTGAATTATTTTAATATAACTATATTTTAATATAACTAAATTCAAATAATAAAGGCAAATTATTTTATTTAACAAAAGGGATTTAAGTTTTTTAAGTTTACTCTTTTAATTTAAAGAAATGTCATAGTCCAAAGATATGAAATCAAGTTTGGAGCATCAAGTCCTTATTCATACTAAGCTGTATGTAATCTGGGGCTTCTGCTTAATTCATTTGCTTGCAATCTTTGAAGACACTCACATAATAAAATCAGAATATCTTCAATAAACCCATCAGCTGGAAATTTTACTGTTGACTTACTTTAGAGTTGAACAAAATTATAAGTAATTCATTTGATTGCATTATTACAGCAAAATATTCTAAAATAGTTGGATGCAATTCTGAAACATATTTACACTCACACTCATCTAATGCAGTAGACATTTACTTTGTGTGCAAGTCTGTTTATAAATACAAATAAATGGATTATATATAGATGGCATAGTCTTGAAGCAAAACTATAAATTAGGCCAAATTAGTCTTCAGTTCTCCTAGCCTTAATATTCGATCTTTCCCATGTCTGTCAGTAGCTGAGTTCATCTTTTCCTCCCCTTCTTCTGAATTAAACTCAGAAAGATGTCTAATAAATTCATTCACATTAATGTATAAATGACTGATTGCAGATGAAAGTAGAGGTATTTGCATTTTAAAAGATATAAAGGCCTTCAGCTAAAACATTATTTTTCAAACTGTGTTCCATTGAGTTATAACTGCAATTCTTCAGCAGTTCTGTAATAACTGTAAAAAAAATACATCACCAGATTTTGGGACAATAAAAAAATCCATAGTAAAAATATATTTGTCATATTAACAGTTCTCAAATCATTAACTTGTGTTATCAGATGAAAACAACTTCTCCTCCTCTACTTCCTGCTCCTCTTTTTTCTTTCTATATAGGTAGATGCATAAATAGTTATAAATACCCACATACACACACACACACACACAAACACATACATATATGTATACACATATAAAGTAATAAATAACTGTGGCATCAACTGGAAATTTGTCAATCTGAAATGGACATTTAAAAATATGTCTTTGCATATTTCATGAGGAATATTATGCAAATGGGCACATTGCCGCCACAGAGCATGGGGACCACCTGCAAATAAAAGATCAGCAAATTCAGATACTTTTGCATGGCACAAGCATGAAACAACACATGGGAATCAAAGGACATGAAAAAAAAGTGGCAATACCTAAATGAAAATGCAGACCACCATTAGATGTATTTTTCCTAAAGAAACTATGTCAGTTAACTTGCTCCCCCAAATATTAATAATAATTTTGTACTGGCTTATATATCAAGCACACTTTTATCAGAGAAGATTTTAAACATGCTCACAACTGTGTTTAAGGAGCCAGCAATGAAATTGGAGTATTTCAGGTATGTATGCAGCATAAAATAAATTTGACTAATTGAAGCTTTGCAATTCAATTCAGTTCAACGATACAGCAAGTATCATTATGTCATGAATCTGTTTTGTCAAAGGTGAAAAACTCTGTTAAAAAGACACCTTTGAAAAGTATTTTTTTAACCAAGAGTGAGGACTCCTCAAGGAATAGGGACCATTTTAGTTATTCTAATTGATTAAGCTTTGAAGATCCAAGTCCAACTATTCCAGTTTTCAGTAGTGGAAACAATGTTTCAACATGTCTGAGAGGCTACACATTCATACTATGTAATTATATATATATATATATATATATATATCTGTATTAGGATATTGCCAATATCACACAACCAAACCAAATGCAGAAAT